TAATTCTAATGTGCGGCCAGGGCTACAAATCCCTGACCTAGAAAGTGTGGAACTCCTTGGAGAGCAGAGTGGGAGATTTGTTTCTTGAGTCTTACAGGGAGTCCTCTTGGACTAGAGATGGAAAATCTCCTGGATTCTGTGATCCAAGCCTGCTCTGGAATCTGAATCTAAAACATACATAATTTATATAAATAAATAGACATACACACACAGTATCTAAAATTTTAATGTACATCAAATAATAGTCAATTGTTTTCTACCCCTTTAATAAAAACATTTTTCCTGATTATAAACATGGTGTACGAGTATCATAAACTATTGGGTTTATGCAGAAAAGTATAAAATAGGTTAAAAATCTCCCCAAATGCCAGCATACAGAAGAAATAACTATTACTATATCTGGTACACATCCTTCCACTTGTTCCTCTGTGCCTGTATAGACATGTAGCCTAGACCTACAATTCAGTGTCAATGGAATCAATGATATATACTGGTCTGGGTGTTTTGCCCAACAGTATTGATGTGGATAATTTCCCTTAAATCCTCATAATCACTTTTATGAGATTTTGTCAAATTCAAGCTCTAATTGCATCTGATAAATGGAACATCTACTTTGTTGTTAAGACTTGCTGTATATATATATTTAAAATAAAGGGCAAACAAACAAATAATGCAATATATGTTAAGAAAAAAAAAAGAAGAAGAAGAAGGTAGCGGGAGGGGAAGAATGAAGCGGGGGAAATCGGAGGGGTGGACGAACCATGAGAGACGATGGACTCTGAAAAACAAACTGAGGGTTCTAGAGGGGAGGGGGGTGGGAGGATGGGTTGGCCTGGTGGTGGGTATTGAGGAGGGCACGTTCTGCATGGAGCACTGGGTGTTATGCACAAACAATGAATCGTGGAACACTTCATCTAGAACTAATGATGTAATGTATGGGGATTAACATAAGAATAAAAAATAAATAAATAAATAAATAAATAAATTTAAAAAAAAAATAAATAAAGGGCAAACAGCTGTGAACGAGGGCCCCTGTGCTGGTTGAGAAGCCCAGATGTGTCTGAGCAGTCTGTGGAGTGTGCCTGGGCAGTTTGTGGACTGGGGACAGAGGGCTCAGCAAGCTTGGCCACAACCACTTTTTGTAGTGCTGGTCTCTGTTGAGTTTTAGTTTTATTCTTTAGGATTTTAAACAGTTTTTGTTTTCATTTGCCTTGTGGACCATGCCAAGAATATAGAACATCCAGCGCCGTCAGCAAAGAGCTGCCTCCTGAGCATGCAGGAGGCAGAACCACCTGTAGGGGGCGTCTCAGTGGTGATCCATTGCTGGCCTGTGAATTGGACAGCCATTCAGTTATTGAGAAAAGCTGACAAGTTAAATTTATATTTGAAATCTCTTGATTTTTTTTTATTCTTATGTTAATCCCCATACATTACATCATTAGTTTTAGATGTAGTGTTCCATGATTCACTGTTTGTGCATAACACCCAGTGC